ACATACACATAATAATAAATAAAATATCTTCTAAAGTCAAAATAAAATGTCCTTTGTATGAAACAAAGATTTGAATGATGCTTGATATGCCCAGGCCATGTGTGTGGTGGCACATGTCTATAATCTCAGCACATTGGATGTGGATGCAGGAAGTCCAGCATGAGCTATAGGGACCCAGTTTTTTTTTTTTTTTTTGTTTTGTTTTTTTTAAAGATGCTTGCTAGGTTTGAGTATATTTTGTCCCCTCTGAAGTGTGTGTCAACATTTGATTGCCACATGATAAAGTTGGAAAGTGCAGCCTTTAAGAGGTGACCAAGTTGTGAGGGGGCTAGTGTCTCTTTCAAGTGACTGAGTCAGTTCTCATAGTAGTGAACAGGTTCACACTCTCAAGGGACTGGATTAATCATTATGGTGGTGACTTGTCATAACACAAGGCTTGCCCTTATGCTCTGTCTCCTCTCCACTAACACACTGGCCCTTTGCTTCTCCACCATCCTGCAAAGAAGCATGATGCTCTTGCCAGATGTGGCCTCACAGTCTTGTATGTCCTACTCTCTGAAAGCACAAGCCTAATTAGCCTCCTCTTAGAGATTGCCCAATTCGACTCAATACATTTGGTTATAGCAGCAGAAAATGGGCTGAGATGATGCTCAAGTAGATTGTTTATAATGGCTTCAAGCACTAAGAGCAGCAGCTGGATTCACTGAAATAAGACTGGGTGCTCAAAGAGACAGTGTGTTTTCTCTCCTCCCTGACCCCTTTCTCTTCTCACACTGAGTGGGAAGGAGAGCCTTGAGCACCCGATTGACACCTAGTGAAGAGAGAGAGAGCGAGTGAAAAGTGGCTGGCCCTTCTTATGGTTGCTAAGAACCATTGATATTGGTTACTCCATTTGGGGGACAGATAGTGAAACATTTTCATTGGCTCTAATTTCAGGAAAGTTGGGTCAAAAGCAATGGTGGGGTGGAGTTGGGAGACAGAGAGCAGAAGTGCAAAGGAGGTCCAGACAGAGCAAATGTTATGATCCACCTGTGAGAAAAGAGTAAGTCTGATGGACATGAAGGAGAAGTTGGGGTGCAGGAGGTGGAAGGCTGGGGTATTCTTTTGTGTTTGGCATGCACTAACAATATATGCTTTGCGCCTAAGAAAATGTCTTTGGGGGAGCTCACTTCCTGCCTCCTTGCTCTACCCATCTGGATCTGAGCCTCAGCTCTAATACTCTCCTCTGTCCCCAGCACCTAGACTCTGACCTGTTCCCCACTCCAGTCCAGAGGAAGCCATGCTTCACAGAAGGCAGCTCGTCACTTCTCAGGATTCACAGGTCAGAGCTGTGTTTGCTAAACAGATTCCCTCAGAGGCCTTGAATACACCTTTTAATAGCTTTTAATGTTTCTATATCAACACTGGAGACACTAAGGGAGAAATAAATGTATGTAGAATAAGATGTAATTGCCTAACAGCGTGAATAAAGTATGACACACCTAAACAATGTTCAAGCATTTTATCTGGAAGGCAAAAGAAACAACCTTTTTATTTAGTGGAAGTTTAAGGGAAGAAATGCTTTTCAGTCATATGAACTTATCCTTTGAGCTTTGATTTCTAAATTTGGAATAGAAATAACTATCTCTCTGTCACATACACCAAAACATTTTTAAGGTGAGGAATAGAAAAAAAGAAAAGAGAAAATGACTTCTCTCTCTATTTGTGTGGGTGTTTTTAAAAACAGTCATCACTTCGATATGAAAGTGTCACTGTAACTGCACCGGATGACAAATTTCATTTTAATTTCCTTATCTAGTCACATATTTGAATAGTGTTAACAAGTCATTTCTACTCTGACCCAATAGAGACAAGCACAAAAATTCAAAACCATAAGAAAAACAAAGAATTGCATTTTTTTTTTACAATATTTCCTCCCCTGAGAGACACCCCACTTCTGGGAACGAGTATGTGCTATGTATGACTCTATTTGTACCTGGTACTCACTGCACGAGCTGAACTCTCAGGCTCTTCATTCTAGGATGGGTACCTGGTGCTCACTGCACGAGCTGAATTCTCAGACTGTGCATTCCAGGATGGGCTGCATGTTACACCAGCCCAGTGACAGTAGGCTCCCCTCCCTCAGTCACACATTCCCAATCACCAGCACAGCATAAGCCAGGAATGGTGGCACACGCTTGGAAGTAGGAGGATTAGGAGTTCGAGGTCATCCTCAACTCCATAGTGAGTTGGAGGCCAGCCTAGGTTACATAAAACCATGTCAGAAAGGGAGGCTAAAGGGAGGGACAGAAAGGAAAGTCAAGTCTAAACTACAAATGCTTCTAAACCTACTTCTTCATAAAGCCATCGCAAGCTCAAAAGAAGTCAAAAGAGATCAGCCATGCTCTTGTACATTTCCATTAGCCTTGGCTTGGGCAGAATCATCAACACAAAGATTATTATAAAAGAATGAATTACTATTGACTGCCTTTATCTTGACTTCTGTAGTTTTTTCAAATTAAAGACATTTTCATTACATTTATTTAGCATGTGGGTGTGCACACAATGATATGAGTGAGGAACTCGGAGGACCACTGGTGGTAGCCAGTCCTCTCCTTCTCGAAGGCAGGTCCCCAGACTCAGCTGCTCAGGCTCATCACCAATCTCCTTTATCACCTGAGCCATGCCAGCCTTGTTTTGCATAATGTACCAAACACCTGTGTCCAAACACTATTAGCAATGTAGTACACTCAGTGTTGGGTTTTACCCCTCACTATGGCCTCATCCTAGAGCTATATGTAGCCTAAAGATGCTGGCTGGACATGCAAAGGACCATCATACCATGCATCTCCAGGTTAGGAGAAGATAAAAATTCAAATACAGTTTGTACTAATTGTATGCTGCTTTTGTGCCACCTCAGAATCATATGCTGAGCCCCATTAAATCTGGGACTTCCCTCAAAGGGAACCCCAAGCTGAAAGAAAATAGTCAAAGAAAGTAAGATGTTTAGGGAGGTGCTGGAGAGGAAGACAGCTCTGTGGGAAGTCAGAACACTGCCTGAAAGACAGGAGAGATGAAATATGAGAAAGGGCTGGTGAAGCCAAACAGACCAGAAGGGGTTTGGTTTGATTCTCATGGAGGGGGTGATGAAGAGACCCATGGGAACTGGGGGTAGGACAAAGCCTTCAAGGGAGACAGGGAGATTCGGAGAGCTGGCATCTACTATGTTGAGGACACTTCTAGGGAGGGGCCAGGGAGCACAACTTTGAAAGTTGGGGCAAGCGGAATGAATGAATGAATGAATGCCACTCAGCCCTAACCATATTCTTAATGATAAATGCAAGGCCTAAATTTATTCCTGGACAAATATTTCTTCCCTCTAACCATATGGTGTTCTGAACACCCATTGGGGTATCTGAATACAAATTGAATAGAAGACCCAAGGCTAGTTCTCACCACAAATTCCCATCTTTGCAGACCTTGGTGCTCAGAAGAACACTCAGAGGGTGGCTTTGAATAAAACCTGCATCATCCACTCAGGAATCTTCTCTGTGGGGTGTCTGGGTTTGTTCCACCAACATCCCACCTCTACAATATCAGAATATTTCTTTCCGTTATAACAACTTGGAGAGCTTTAGCAGACTCAAACCAAAGGCAAATGACTGTGAGGGATTAGAAGCGGGAGGGAAGAAACTGGAGCATGTTTTTATCCAAACCACAGATGCTCGACCATCTCTTACGACTCGCTGGAAAATAAATAAAGCCATATTGCTGTTTAATATTCCGGGGATTACAGGACTGTTATGTGATCCCTGTGACCCAGTAGCTGAGGTATGTCATCCATTTAAATGATGCCGGTTTATTACATAGCGTTTTGTAGGTGGGCTGGGGTCGTTGGGCCTGGTGCCTTCACAGCTTGGCCATCTTTCAAGTCACAGCCCGCATTTTCACTGCCCAAAATATTTCATCTTCTGTTCTCATCGTTAAGTTAGTGAACATGAAAATATGATGTCTGTTCATTTCCACCCTCCAACTCTTTAACCTAATTTATCTTCTTGAAATTTCTCAGGTCCGTTCTCCCCCAGCTCTCTCCATCTTCCCCTACTTGATGCTTACGCAATGAATCAGTTATATTGATGCTCAAAACTTTGCTTTTGTCGCTGTGTGCTTGTCGCTGTGTGCATGTGTTTGTGTGTAGGCAGGTATGTTTGTGTGTGTGTGTCTGTGTGTGTGTGTGTCTGTGTGTGTGTAGGTGTGTATGCACACATGTGTGTGTGCATGAGTGGGGGAGCCACAGGACAACCTCAGGTGTCCTTCTTCAGGTGATGCTCACCTTCCTTTTTTTTTTTTTTTTCAGTTTTTCGAGACAGGGTTTCTCTGTGTAACTTTGCGCCTTTCCTGGAACTCACTTGGTAGCCCAGGCTGGCCTCGCACTCCCGAGTGCTGGGATTAAAGGCATGTGCCACCACCGCCTGGCTCACCTTCTTTTTGAGGTGGGGATTCTCACTGGCCTAGAACTTGCCAAGTAGGCTAGCCTGGCTAACCAGTGTCACCAGAGATCCACGCATCTCTGTTTTCCCAATGAATGCCACCAATCCTGGCTTAAAATCAATCAATCAAACAAACAAAAAACAATAACAACCCCCCCCCCATAAATTCTGGAAATGAAACTCAGGTCCTTGAAGGTGACACGCTTTCCCAAGTAAACTGTCTCCTAAGCCGCTATGTTCATTTTGGGGAACTGTTTTCCTCAGAAACGAATCTGTTCAATTTCTAAAAGTTCTTCATTTAGCTGGTTAATTCCTTGTTGCTCTTCCCACCGCACGAATCTGATGCTCTTCTTGTAGGAGGAGTTTCACTAACACGCCTTCGTGTCAACTTGTGCGGAGGCTCATCACCCTAACCTCCATTGCGACGCTATTTTCATTTGACGGGTCCTCATACCCTTTTCCATCCACGTATAGATAGTGATGACTCCATAGATCATCTTTATGTCACCTGTCAGAGAAGCATTAACTCACCCGTGCTTTGCGGCTCCTGCAGAGTCTAGATGCTGCCAAAGCAGAGGCTGGCTTCTTGATTTACCAACTCGCTTTCCCCAAGGCTCCTCCCTGGGAAACCTCACCCTGGAGGACTTTTATTTTAAAAGGAAATCGAGCAGCTTGGCAAGGGCCTTGGCTTTGATGGCTCAGTGGGAACACATTGAAGGAACGTGTTATAGAGTGGGAGACATATATTCCTTTTATGTGCGGCGGATAATGAGGTATACTGATTAGTCTAACTCACTGAGGCAAATCGCTACATAGTTTTAAAAGGTCTCCTCTTCAGTGCACAGTAATTAAATTAAAGTTAAAATACTGTAATTATTTAGAACCAGGATGCCACTTTTTTTTTTACTGACTTTGTGAACTTATAGGCTCAAATAAATGCAAAGATAAAATGGCATAGCACAAGCTGGCTATATATTATCTTGTCTATCTTGGATTTAGAATTAAATTACTCTGGAGTTCAGAGGTTAATAAGAAACACAAGATCTATCCTCTGTATAACGGTAGCTTTATTTTGGCTGAATTGAAAATATCAATAGAGAAGAGTAATTTGACTATGTACACAGAGGCATGAAGCTTTAATGTACACACAGGTATATATGTCATACTGGAGCTCTTTCCTCACGAAAGGTCTCCTATGCAGCAAGAACTATGCATTATACGCCCTGTGTGCTTGGGGCCCACATCCAAACCACAGGACCAGACAGCCATTACTGAAATTATTTTAGAGACAGACATGCCATTCACTACTAATTCCTTCTTTCTACCTTCCTCCTGTCTTTCCTTTCTGGGTCTCCATGGTCAATCCCTTTATTGGCTTGCTTCATCAGTCTTTACCTCCCATGCGTATGTTAATTCTTTGTCTTATTTGTGCCAACCTCATGACAAATTCACACCAAACCTCCGTCAGACCCTAGCTGGACTCTGGCAGTAGCCCCCAGCTTATCTTCTGACATCCTCCCCCTTCACCCGATGTTCTTACAGCAAACATGATCATGCTGCTTTGGTGCTTAAAGTGTCTCCATGGTTTCCCATATGTTGCTCTTACTTGAAAATACTTAACACAGTCCTCTCAACTCAGCAGGATTTTGCCCCCTCTGTCTCGTCAGGCTCAAGCTACTGCCGTCTTAATACACAGTGGCTTCATTCTGCACCTTAAATGGTCAGTCATCTGTCCTGCCTCAGTACCTTTGCATAGCCCTTTTGCTGGCTGTCTGGACCACTCTTTCTCCACCACTGGTGAATGCCTCAAGGAAGTCTCCTTTGATCACACCTGTCACAGTTAGCTTTCACCGTCAACCGGACACATAGCATAGGGTCACCTGAGAAAGGACTCTCAAATGAGGAGATAACCAGACCAGATTGGGGGCAGGGGGTTGTCTTGATTGTTCATTGACTGTAGGAGAGCCCAGCTCACCATAGGCTGTGCTGTTCCCTGGGCTGGTGGTCCTGGGTTGTATGAAAAAGGAAATCAAACAGACAAACCACTAGCAAGCGTGAGTCATTGAGAGAGACAGTGAGCACCAGTCCTCCATGGTTTCTGCTAGAGTTCTTACCCTCGCTTTGCTCTGTGATGGACTGTAATGTGGAAGTGTGAACCAAATACACCCTTTCCTCCCCCTATGGTGCCTTCTGTCAGAGTGTTTTACCACAGCCACGGAATGTAACTGGGGCACCACCCTAGGAAAGATCTCCTGTTACACCATTTCACTGCATCCTGTTTCTTTCCCCCACAGGACTTAGTGTGATCCATGAATATGCATTTCTGGAGGTAGTTAATTGACTACGATGTCTCTCATTTCCCGACAGCCTCCTTGAAGATAGGAGCCTATCCTTTGTTTGCGTTCTACTGTAATCCAGTGCTTAGCAAAATGCTGTGTTTAGCAAACATTTTGGCCAAATGTTTGATTTCTTTCCCCCTTACTTTAATAGCCACTCTAATTACCAAATACAAAGGGAAACAAATTTCTTTCAAGAAAGAATGGAAAAACAGGTGGAAGCAACTTGCCAATGTGAAACTGGCTTCCGGTTTGCTGTGTTTTTATGGTCAGAGGAAGAGGGTGTCATTGATTTGCCATGATGCCTGGACCGGCACACTCTCCTGTGAACAGACTCACGTTTTCTGGAAACTCAGAACAGATAGGAAAATGTGTCAACTTGGTTAAAACCAATAGTCTACATGAATCTAATAAAGAGACCTAAGAACGTAGACTCTCAGGAAATGGTAAGCAAGAAGGAACCAGAACATTTAGACCAAGGGAAAAGAGGTGGAAACTCAGAAGTATCAGCTCTCAAGGGACTGTTTGGGTAAAGTAAAGCATACACTAACACACTCCCGGCGATGGAGTAGTTGACCATCCCACAAGAGGAAGCTGCCAAGCACAACCGAGTATCAGGTAGGATGGGCTCATCTGGCATCCAGGTTTATCTTGTGTGCCATTAAAATAACGCAGTTCAGCATCCAAAGTATCTAAAGAGCCTTCAACCTACCACAGTATTTTCTCAAACTGAGAAGAAAGTACATTTAAAATAGAAAACAAGATGGTGAAGTCCTCAATCCCAATGTCAGTCACATGTTACAGGTGCCAGGTGCCTCTAGCCTTCACCTCCACAGCTGCTAGCGTTTACCTATTCTCTTATACCTAGATCTAGGTTTGTCTCTCAAACCTCTCCTGTACAGCCCATGCGTACACGATGTGTAGAGAAAGTATCCGAGGTCTCTAGCTATTCTTTGCCCATTCCCCAAACCCCGAGTTCCCCAGGAGTTGACTGACAATGTTTATAATTGAATGGTATATATTTAAAAATTACTACCCTTGTCCATTTCGTTGAAAATGTGCAATTCCACATTATGATGAAGCAAATAAAACCCTGATTTAAGTTTCAGAATTTATGGGGTAGATTTCATGTGGTGTCATATTTAAAAACCTTTGTTTTTTCCCTCTTCCAGGTACCTTATAATAATGGGCACATGATGTCCCTGCTGACGCCTGGGAACGCTACACTGTTTGGGTGGGACATGTGTGAGTGGGACACGACACTGATGAACATCCTGAGAGTTGTTGGACAGTGGGAGACATTAGGTACCAAGACACAGAGTCAGAGCAGACACTTGGAGAGGAATATATGACAGGCAGGAAAAAACAACAAGCCTGAAAACAGCATACCCATGTTCTCACTATATTTGAGCTAAACCTAGCATGGAGGTTTCAGAGAGGAAGACATCTGAGCCATGGGTCATTAACACAACCCAGGAAAACCAACTAGAAACAATCAATCCAACACTGAGGGGTCAAAAATATTGTCATCAAGGTGCATAAATGAGCCAAGGACCACATCTGTTCAGAAATGAGTGACTGTCCCTTGATGAAGTGTTTCCTCGTGCCTCCTGTCACAGTGAGAACTAGCCCCTGAAGTGAGGCTCTGCAGGTGATGGGAGCGTCAAAGCAGGTTGTGCTATACTGTGTTTTCTGCTGCAGAAGCCCATTTAGGGTTTTCTCTTTTGCTACCTAATGAGATGTTTTAGACTAGTTACAGGCTTCCCACCACTTTTTGAAAGACAGGAGCAGTGTTCAAAAAACAAATTATGGTGAGGATGTCATGCCAGGAAGAAAGAAATAAGACGCCACCTGGTCCCCAAAACTTGGTCTGAAAAAAAAAATAGAGACCAAAATACACTTCATCCCATTGGTGAAGGAAGTCTTTCCTAAGTAAATGCTAGACTATAATAGTTTCAAAAACACATACCTTACAGGAAAACCTGACGGCTCAAAGACTAGTTGGCTGCCAGCCACCATGCACTATATTTGAATTGAAATTTCCAATGAAATCCCTTCTAAAACTCGTGTAAAAACTTCTGCGTTGGTTGTGAACTTTCACTACCCAGTGGAGCCACTACCCTGAGGCCTGTTGAGTCTGTGGATTATTTACAGGCTGGTCCATAATTTGCATCATATTTGCATATTGTAAATATTTGCACACGTGGGGGTTTTTCCTGCCTATATATCTGTGCACCACTTGCATGCCTGATACCCAAGGAAGCCAAAAGAGACTGTCATAACCCCTGGAACTGGAGCCACAGATGGTTGTGAGCCACCATGTGGGTGCTGGGAATCCAACCTGAGTCCTATGGAAGAATAGCCAGTGCTCCTAACTGCTGAGCCACCCTCCAGCCCCATCAACATCATGGCTGTTTGATATAATACTCTTATCTGATATATTTGAAAACAGTGTGTGTAATCCTATTTCTCTCTAAATCTTTGTGGTAAAAGAGAAATTGATGCTATTTGTTCTAACTTCCTGGTTTTTTCATTACTCTTTAAAGAGAAATAGGGAAAGGACAAAAAGGAAGAGGAACTGCTAACACTCAAGGTAAACTTACAGCCAAAGAGGCCACCTCAGCATATATCTGTAATTTGCTAGGAAGACTCCATGTGCAGGCTTCCACAATCAATTGTTTGGGTTCTTTAATTGAATGCATGTGTCCAAAGATAAAGTGTTTGGGTTCAGAGGGCAGGGGATTCATTAGAAGAAGTTCCTAATAAAAGTGATTCAATCTTTGTATTTAGCTTTTAATATAAAAAATTAATTAACATCTGCATTATGAGACTTGACCTCCCCAGGGAAAGATAATCAATTCTCCCAATCCACGAGGGGCTCTGCAGAGGACGTAATTCCTAATTGTGGTGCTGATCAATCATGTCAGTGGCTCAGGGGGACTGTAAATGATGCCCACAACTGTTGGACTCGGGGCTCCTTAATGCCAGTTGTCAACACCATAGTATAAATATATACTTACAGTGGGACTGTTTAATTATAATATTGATTAAATTATTGCAGCCCCTGGCATAATGTGTGAAGGCGGCATACTCTCTGGAAGGAATACAAGACAAATGAAAAGCCTAGCCATAGCTTCACAAATCACAAGAAAACCTTCCCTTATAGCCCCACAATATGGACTTTTACTACAAAGGACTCTTGCCTTACTGAGGAAACAGGTTTATTATTTTAGTTGGAGATCAGAACACACAAAGAAAGAGCCTATGAACTGGAGAGATTCTGTCAGTAAAGCACTGGCTGTGT